CTGTCAGTTTCAGCTTGGCTCTTGGAGTAGAGAGCTGTGTCTCTGACCACATCTGTACTGTCCGGAACCCTGGTCAGCCGCCGTGAGTACAAACTCAGCCCTCCGTCTGTCATGTAGCTGCACACACACACACAAACACACACGCATGAAAAAAACAGGCAGATACACATGCAAGAACAGACACAGGAACATGCATGTATATGCACACGCACTCACACCCACGCAGACATACAGTCACATTTTCCCCCAACATATTTCAGGTTTCTGCTACTGTAGTTTACATTAAAGGGCCCATTTCCTGGAAAATAACAAGTTTTCCATGCTGTTTTGAAATAAAAGGCTACGTTCAAACAGCAGGTAAAAGTGGCCCAAATCTGATTTTCTCACCAAATTCGATTTTTTTGTTTGGCTGTTCACAATATCTTTTAAATGTGATCTGTATGCGACATCAGTCTGAACAGATCAGCTCCTAAACTGACCCGCATGTGCAAAAGAACAATGCTGCTTCACGTTGCTTCACGTGGCGGCTCGTCCAGAAGTAAACAATCATGACTGCCAACGGATGCCAGTCACTCCCGGAGGGTTCAGTTTCATCTTCGCCAGCATCACAGGAGCCATCGTGAAGCTTCGCTGACTGACAGCTGGGCTCATCACCCAGAATGTGTTGGAGCTCGCCCGTAAAAAGGGCACAGTCACTTCTTTGGTTCGTGTCCTCGGATTCTTTAAACTTTGCTTTCAGACTTTTAACTGTTCTCTGACGCTGCAGCCTCGTTCGCCTACGGCCACGTTCGGTCATTTCTTTTGAAATCTCTTCAAACACGGAGGGTTTTGGATCAGTCTCTTCTAATTATTTGAACAGAAGCATCACCCCAAATGTTTATGAGTCTCTGCAGTGCAAAATTACGACAAAAGTCAAGTTGGATTGACGTAAAATCACATGAATCTGGCTGCTCAGACTGAGTCGCATTGCCTCCTATCGGATACGTATCGGATTTCAGTACCACATATGAAAGCATCTCAAATCGGAATTGACACACTGACAGACAGATAACACATCTGTTTCACCGATTTGGGCCACTTTTACCTTTTGTGTGAACAAAGTCCAAACAGTTTGTGTAAACATCCCATTTTAATTCATCATGGTTGTGATGTATTAACTATGAAAACATTTACACAAGACGTTCCACTCAGTATTCAGGAGTTAAGACACCCATTCAATGAAGCACAATAAAAGGAAGCCTATCAGAACAGAGCTCAATTACGTACATCAGTCTCACAGTAACAAAAGCAGCCTGTTCAATACTAAAAGATTAAGAAATGTTTCAAAAATGGTCACGTAAAAACTAATAATGTCTGTTTTTGGCACATGAACATAAAACGGAACAATAAAATACAAGAAACAAGAATAATACAGGCCCTTTAGTTTCAACAGTCCCAGCAGTCATGCTCAACACAGCCGATATTACTGCAAAACGCTAAATCCATAGGCCCAATGAAAGGTTCCATTCTCTACTTCTGCCTCACGTTCATCTTCTGACTTCAATGTCCTGTTAATTACACATAAACACACCTTCATGCTTCTTCTTAATTGCAAAATACTTCAGCAGAACTCATTACTCCCATAACGTGAGGTCATAACGTGGTTCCACTATCTGCTTATTAGAAAAAGGATCAGCAAAAAAGACCAAAAAGGTTTCTTATCGAAACTATTAAGCGGCACACCTGTAAGGCACAAAGTCAAAATAAGAGCCCCTCGCCTGCTTAATGCAGGCACTCTCTCACCCATGCCCCAGGCTTTCACACACTGGAACGCAGCCAGCTCCAATAAGAAAGAAACCCTTTAGATAAAAGATGTCTCGACAAATACGACAGCATGAGTCAGCTTACATGTCTCCTGTCTCTGATCGAGAACAACCCCAAAATGACTTCAGCAGAGCCTCGCTGTCAGTCCATGGTGACAGGCAGTCATGCACTTTTCCCTTTAACATGATAAGATGCTACAATAACATGCTAACATTTTACTTGAAATGCATGTTTTGTATCATCCTGTACTGTATGCTGAGGGTGTTGGGAGGAATTAGTCCACAGTTGCTCTACAAACACTCCTATTTACTCTGCCTATACACTTGCTCTTATGAAATATTGACTCATTTTATGCAGTCCGGTTCAGTCTTCTCTTGGGATCCTCATTGCAAATGCTGCTTGCCTTGGCTCAGCAGATTAGGGTGGATTTCGGCATTGCCATTGAAAGCACACATTAGCCATCATCCTTTAATCCATCTGTAATCCCACACCATCAGCAATAAATCATGACAGGGCCGTTGCAAAGAGAATGTAGGTTAAATGAAGCATGCCCTGACGAAGGTATGGGAAATTCAGGTCAGCTGTAAACAAAAACCAGCATTAAAACCCATTTGTTCTCTGAAGTCTGTCCACTTATCTAGAATGCGGGGTATTAAGCAGGGCATTGTGTTAATTGTTTTTAAAATGACGCATATGTACATAACCTAGACCAGAGGTTGGCAACCCAAATGTTAAGAAGAACCATTTTGTCCTTTCAATAAAAATCAAACCACCTTGGGAGCCACAATATTTTACGTCCATTTTACCATCTTGGCTGTAAATATGTCTCAGTATGTGCTAATGTACTAGTATAGGCTAAAAATATAATATAACCAAAACACAGACTTACTTCGCTCTGCTTTATGCTTTAGCTCAGCTATAGCCGCTTTTCTCGCATCTCTGGCAGGAAACTTTTCCTCAAAAGTGGAATATTTTCTTGTAAAACGTCTCTCAACATTTGACTTTTTACGAGGCTTAACTCAGCTTCTCATTCAAATTTTCCTGTTCCACCTTAAATGGTACAGTGGTTATGTGCTGGCACCTCAGGCACCATTTAAGGTGGAACAGGAAATTTGAACAAGAAGCGACTTCAGCCTGGCAAATTTTTAGTGTTTAGCAGTTTCTGGTTGCAGATTAAACGTATCAGGAAACCAGCTGGAGTCATTATAAATGCAAATAAGTCCATTAATCTCCAAATTATCAATGTTCATCTTAAATCTCTCTCTTTGCTGTTTTGTTAGCTACTAGCTAGCTGTCTGCATTGCTATGGTGACCAGCAGTCTGCACACCAATCTTCAGGGTTAAAGGGTGAATTAGCAGTTCTACATTAACTCCAGCGTTTAAGACAGCTTATTGTTAAAACTGTGTTAGAACGATCAGCAGAGCTTTATTTTACTGCAAAGGACGACTATTTTTTTTTGCTGACCCCTGAACTAGACACTCAAGTATGCCACACAATTACAATCTAGTTCATAAGTAACTGGGTAGTCACACAGCTTTCAGTCTGCTAAAAAGGTAAGTGCTATTATTGTGAAATGGAAGCACCTAGAAGCAACAACGGCTCAGACACGAAGCATTAGACCACGCAAACTCACAGATCGGGGCTGCCGAGTGCTGAAGCACACAGTGTTTACCCTCTGTCGAATCACTCAGTAAAGAGTTCCAAATTGCCTCTGGTAGCAACATCAGCTGAAGAACTGCATGTTAGAAGCTTCACAAAATGGGTTTCCATGGCGGAACAGCTGCACACAAGATCAAAATGCACAATGCGTCAGGGGGAGAGTGGTGTTGTAATGCACGCCGCCACTGGACTCTGGATCAGTGGAAATGTATTCTGTGGAGTGATGAATCACACTTCTCTATCTGTCAGTCTGATGGACGAGTCTGGGTTTGGCGAAAGCCAGTAGAACATTACCTGCCTGACTGCACTGTGTCAGCTGTAGAGTTTGGTGGAGGAGGGATGATGATATGGGGTTGTTTTTCAGGGGTTGGTCTAGAATCCTTAGTTCCAGTGAAGAGAAATCTTAATGCTTCAGCACCAAGACATCTTCGACAATTGTACAATTCCAGCTTTGTGTGAACAGTTTGGTGAAGCCCTTTTCTGTTCCAGCATGACTGAACCCCAGTACACAAACAGCTCCATAAAGGCCTGACTGAGTGAGTTTGGTGTGGAAGAACTTGACTGGCCCTCACAGAGCCCAGACCTCAATCCCATCGAACACCTTTGGAATGAACTAGAACAAAGATTGTAAGCCAGGCCCTCTCGTCCAACATCAGTATTTGACCTGACAAATGCTCTTCTGGATGAATGGGCAAAAACTTCCCACAGACACTCTCCAACATCTTGTAGAAAGCTTCCCAGAACAGTAGAAGCTGTTATAGCTTGCAAAGGGGGACCAACACCATATTAATGCCTATGGATTTAGAATGGGATGTCATAAAAAGCTAAAAGCTCTGGGTGTCCCGATACTTTTGCCCATATAGTGTACTTTTGGGGCCACTGCATATGAAAACTAAGCAGCAAAAATGGCCTCTTTGAACGATTTGTTCCTGTCATGTAACTAAAAACAACACAATATATATCCACCAGTTCAGCCTACGGCTGTTTAGCCCTGCTCATCTACGCTGAAGTTATAAGATGTATTTCAGACCAGACTGCTTTTTGAATGAGGCACAATATAGTACAGCCACATAATCTCATAGCAGCCTGCAGTAAACCTATACCTGGTTTGGCTACTAAATACATTAGGTTAAATATGCTACTGATGAAATTAACAAATTCATATGATAGCTGAAGGCTTCAAGGAGACATCTGGAACCATACGTTGCTCTTCAAATTCATAATGTAAAACATTTTGGTATTCAAATGACAAAAACGAAAATTATAAAATACAAGAAAATGTAGGGTACAGGCCCTTTAGCCACCAATTTGAAGCAAAGTCAACAGGACCGTGTGTGTGTGTGTTGGTGTGTGAAGAAATAGGGAAAGGGAGAAGAGAGAAAATGTGGTAGTTAATGAGTAAGTTTTTGTGCAATGTGCCTGTACGGGAAAAAGACAGACAGAGAGAGTGTATTTGTGTGTTTGAAGAAGGGGAGGGGATGCAGGTAAAGCCGGACGGGACAGTAAATGTACGGCTTAGGAGGATGGGTGGATGGGTGTGGATGGGTGGATTGACGGACTCCTGAATAAGTGGATGGCCTACAGAGCAGGAATTCAGTGGAAGCTCTAAACAGGTTCTCCACACACCTTCTCAGGGGAAAATACTTAAAAAGAA